GTGTACAGATGTATGTATGTATGTACATTAGACTGCATCACTCCCCATACAAAAAAAAAATCCGTACTGTGTTTGCATTGGAACTATAAAATCTATTATATTTATTTTAAGACGTCCACCAAAATATTTCGGAAAAATATTAAAATTTACGTGAGCTGCGCCGATTTGAAAATACGTAGCTCCAAAAATGGAGTTTTTTATGAATAAAAATAGTTTCTTAAATATTTTGTGTTGCAAAAATCCCCTCAAATGACAATAAAATGCAACAGTTTAAACTTAAAAAAATTGCATAAAAATATTTTTTAAAAATTTAAAAAAATTTTCAACGGAATCGTAATAATGCGATTTTTGATGCTGTTTTTTTAACTCTTTTCAAAGATTAGTTTGAGAAAACTTGTATAACTGAACTCTTCCGATTTAGACTTGTGAGGTATCATTGGAGAGGTATTTTCCCACCCTTTTTATTTCTTTGCCAATAAACTTATTCAAAGGATGAAAGAGAAAGGCAGGATGAACGAGCGTTATTCCGAGTCGAATTAAGATGGCTGGTATTTAAAAAAAAAAATTGGGACATGAATGACTTTTTTTTTGGACAGAAATAAAAAGATAGGAAAATACCTTTCCACAAGTCTTAATAAGAATAGTTTTGGCCCAGCTATTCAAGTTTTTCGTAAATCAATTTTTGAAAAAAAAACGGCATCAATCTCATTATTACGATTCCATTCAAAAGATTTTTATATATTTTGATGCAGATTTTTTTAAAAAATTTTTGGTAATGCAGTCTAATATACATATGTTAGCTGTAGAAAGAAGATTTAACCATTCTCGCCTAAGGATTAGTTTATATATACATATGGCGAGAAATATGAAAAATAAAGCAGCTGTTAAAGGACTGTGATGCAAAATTTCAATTCACTTGAGTTAGTTAGACCAAAAACTACTTATGTACATTAGGGTGCGCCACTAAAAAAGTTGCGGGGTTTTCAACAGAATTATAAAATGTATTATATTTTAGGACTTCCGCCAAAATATTTTGGAAACGTATTGCCTCAAAAAATTTCATTATTTTGAATCCGTTGATACAATTTTTAAGCAATTCTTTTCGGCCCCCAATTTGGCTATATACCCAAGGTGCTTTTGATCATGTTTCTATATTTTTGATCTTCTTACAATTTATTACAGGGTGCCGTGTTCAGTAAATATTATTCCGGGGGAAATATGAAGCTTTTTTAATACCTTTACAACGGTGTGCCGTTTATAGAAATCGGACATCAAATCACGAAGTTATAAAAAAAGTGCCGATTATGTTCGTTTAACAGATACGCTCAATGTACACTACACCGTACCAAAAAAAAAAGTTCGCCGTACACCTTCGAATCTGAAGTATTTTTTGGAGGCAATTTCCAAAAAAATGTTCTTTGCGGAAAGTTTTAGCATTTTTCGAATCTTAAAACGTGATATATCGACGTTCTTGTCTTGGGAAGGCAATGTTTTTTTGCTCCAAAAATCATTGACCTCAAGTACCCTCCTCTCCTCTTCTAGTACCCCAGATATCAGTTCTTATCATCCTAGCGCACAACCATAATGCCAGTAAATTAAAGCTTGCCAAAAAGTACTACACTTTAGCTAAGGAAATATATCAATTATTCCAGTAGAAATATTTAAAAAAAAAACTCTTACAACATGTGTGTAGGTTAGGTTAGGTTGTCGCGGTCGTCTATAAGACACACTTAGGCTCAGGGCCCATTGTGATGCCGCATGTTGGGCCAGCAACTCCCAAACCCTCCTTAGACCATTTTGAACTTTGAACGAATTTTAGAAGATCCCTGCTTACTACGCATCTAAGGTCCTCCAAGTTGTCGAAAAATTGCCTACCGAGAGTGGAGAGTCTTCGTCTGGATAGAGCAGGGCATTGGCACAACAGGTGGAGAATCGTTTCCTCCTCCTCTTCATCTTGCAAACTTCTATAGAATTCATGTAAACGTAGGCCAAGTCGATAGGCGTGCTTGCCAATTAGGCAGTGTCCTGTTATGACGGATACTAATAATCCAATATTGGGCTTATTTAGACTCAAAAGTAGGCCAGTCCGTTTGGTGCTGAGCACCGGCCATAATTGTTTGGCAGTTTTGCAGGTGATTTCGTCCTGCCACTTTCTGCTGTTCGCTACTTTAGTAAGCCTCTCGGAGATAAGTAGCTTACAAGTTTGCAAGGGTATTCCTATTTCGTCGTTTATATCCTCAAAAGGAAGTTTCGTGCCAAGTCGTGCCAGTTCGTCGGCCTTACAATTCCCCTCTATGCCGCAGTGACCCGGAACCCACATGGGCTCCAGACTCGAAGGTGCACTGTGAACTTTTTTTGCGTGTAAGGTGGTACGGTCTAATGTAAATAGTGGCTAGCAAATGGCATACTTTATCTAAAATATTTCTTTATATTTTGAATATGCCATACCGCAGCCAGTAATTGAATTAATTGGTTTGCAAATATTGAGCATTTGCTTAGGAGGAAAAACTACTATAACGTATGTATGTATAAATAGTAGGGTGGTTCTTGTTATTCGATTTTAAATTTTCTCATACTTATATATTAAAAACTGTTGCACAAAATTGTATCTCTATACGCCAATTATCATGTTAGTTGTACCCAATGATGAGTTGATAATACCAGACTTAACTGAGGGGCCAACCCATTAAACCCATTTTTTAAGTGCCTTATAAGACCCAACCTAATGTCCACAAACATTTAATAAAAGTGTGTAAACTTTCTGAATTCACTGTTAACATTGCAAAATATATTCATATACACTATCAAACATAAAAAATATTAAGATTATCAAGATATCACGTCAATATGTATTTCCCCAGAGACTCGTTAATTAAATTTTTAGTCTAAAAATAAATATTAGAAGAGAAAAATTGTTTCTCAGTTTAAATTTTTTAATTCCCTGAGGCAAAATTACTGGCGACATAAGTTCCAAAAAAAAAATAAACAAATTTTCAGCTTAAAATGATCGCCTGGTTAAATCGAAAATCTCTTAATGATCAAGCATTTGGTTTGATTTATGTACATACGCAACGGGATAAGAGAACAAAAATAAGGAATTTAGTAGCGATCAAGCTAGTCCAACGGAAAACATTTGTTGCGCTAAAAAAAAAAACACTGTTTGATAAGTGCACTTCAATATATACGAGTATTGTTACGTATAGGATTGAATACTTCAACGATGTCCAAAACTTCTAAAGTCAATACCCTGCAGAAAATTATCAATTGATAAAAAATAACCCACTTGTAGTTAGCTTTTTTGCGGGATTTCTATAAAATATATAACTTGTAGTTAGTTACAAAAACAAGTAATGCAGGAGTAATGCAGGAGATTATTTTCTTTAAACGCGTTTCTATTTAAATATCCTGCACTTCGCAAATACTTTTTCGAATTTAGGACAAATAAAAGGAAGATCGAAATTTCATATTATCATTTTGAAGTTATGTCTGACGGAGTTCGAATATGGGACCATATGGGAATATGTAAACAAATATGAAATGTAATAAAATAAATAAAGTAAATAAATAAAAAAATTAAATAAAATAATTTGGTTTTTCCTATTAATATTTTATGTCCAAAGTTAGTTAGTTGCAAGTTGGTTACATCAAATGCTGACCGCCCTTGACTATTTCGCGGCCGTTAACTTAAAGATACGATGCAGCGAAACAAAGGTGGCGCCTTCCGTGGACTGCTAATCCTCTATTTGTCAACAGCATCCACCCTTTCGCTGACGTCACATTAGTATTTTTCGCACTAGTGATGAATATTAAGTTTTCATAATGTACCTATTGGCTGAAAAGTTGTACCTAGAAGTAGACAAACGTACCTAAAAAGAAGATATGTATTTTTATGTGCATACCTTTCCGATAGTTGGTGGACTGGTGACAGGTAAAAAGATCAACGAAAATAATCTGATCTTATTTCCGTTGATCCTGTTACCTGTCACTGCTTGACTACCTCTTCCTTTGGTACCATATCTACTTTTGGACTTACATCAGACAATCTGTTCTATTACAAGTAATTTTTAGGAAGAAAAAACCGACTTGAATCCTCATATAAAAAAAAAATATATATATATATCTCATGATCCAATGATCGGAATTTTTGAAATCGGTTGACGTGGTCCAAAGTTATGCGGTAACATACATAAAAAAATAAAAATATATATTCCGACGAACTGATAACCTAGCATGAATATCAATTACAAGACTTCCCAATTAAGTGTCTACTTCCCACAAGTTGTATGCACTTATCTAATTTTTCATGGAAGGAAATCAGGCGAATGAATACATTGTCTAAATTAAATAAATGCAATACCTCAACATTTATAAAACAAAACAAAAGAAAAGAAAACAAAAACGAATACAAACAAATCAGTTCATATCAAAATGAAAAAATGAAAATGAAAATACCTGTAGCAAAGATTTCTCGCATTTTTACGTTTGTAAGATTTTTGAATTCGTAGAACCAACAAAAATATTTATTTATCTACGCATTTTGTGCTTAATTTTGGTAGGTGGCACGCATAACAAACGATTCTGTGTAAAGAAAAATGATGCTTAATAATTGCGTGGGGGTAAGGGAGCGAGTGAAATGGCGTGGCGGCCAGTCCCCCATCCCCATAAACGAGAGTGAAATATGCGGCATTCACAATTTCTATGGAATTCACTTGCTTGTGGGTGGAAAACAATGTATGAATGTATGTATGAGCGTGCACATTTTACGATATGAAAAGGGTCGTAATAAAAGCTATTTATTATAGAATTCGATAATGAGCGACATGCCATAAATTTGTATTTTATTTTTTGCACTTTTGCACTTTTGAATATGAGGACCAGAAGGTTTTATAGTAAGTGCC